TAGTAAATTTGGGAGACAGCAACCACCCAGGAGGTACTACCGTCCTGTGGTAGTAGTGTTGGTAGACAGCAACCACCCAGGAGGTACTACCGTCCTGTGGTAGTAGGTTGGGAACAGCAACCACCCAGGGGGGTACTACCGTCCTGTGGTAGTAGGTTGGTAGACAGCAACCACCCAGGGAGGTACTACCGTCCTGTGGTAGTAAGTTGGTTGACAGCAACCACCCAGGGAGGTACTACCGTCCTGTGGTAGTAGGTTGGTAGACAACCACCCAGGGAGGTACTACCGTCCTGTGGTAGTAGGTTGGTAGACAGCAACCACCCAGGGAGGTACTACCGTCCTGTGGTAGTAGGTTGGTAGACAGCAACCACCCAGGGAGGTACTACCGTCCTGTGGTAGTAGGTTGGGAGAAAAAGCAACCACCCCAGGGAGGTACTACCGTCCTGTGGTAGTAGGTTGGTAGACAGCAACCACCCAGGGAGGTACTACCGTCCTGTGGTAGTAAGTTGGTAGACAGCAACCACCCAGGGAGGTACTACCGTCCTGTGGTAGTAAGTTGGTAGACAGCAACCACCCAGGGAGGTACTACCGTCCTGTGGTAGTAGGTTGGTAGACAGCAACCACCCAGGGAGGTACTACCGTTCTGTGGTAGTAGGTTGGTAGACAACAACCACCCAGGGAGGTACTACCGTCCTGTGGTAGTAGGTTTGGTAGACAGCAACCACCCAGGAGGTACTACCGTCCTGTGGGAGTAGGTGGTAGACAGCAACCACCCAGGGAGTACTACCGTCCTGTGGTAGTAGGTTGGTAACAGCAACCACCCAGGGAGGTACTACCGTTCTGTGAGAGTAGGGTGGAAGACAGCAACCACCCAGGGAGGTACTACCGTCCTGTGGGAGTAGGTTGGTAGACAGCAACCACCCAGGGGGGGACTACCGTCCCGTGGTAGTAGGTTGGTAGACAGCACCACCCAGGGAGGTACTACCCTCCTGTTGGTAGTAGGTTGGTAGACAGCAACCACCCAGGGAGGTACTACCGTCCTGTGGTAGTAGGTTGGTAGACAGCAACCACCCAGGGTGGTACTACCGTCCTGTGGTAGTAAGTTGGTAGACAGCAACCACCCAGGGAGGTACTACCGTCCTGTGGTAGTAGGTTGGTAGACAGCAACCACCCAGGGAGGTACTAAACCCTCCTGTGGTAGTAGGTTGGTAGACAGCAACCACCCAGGGAGGTACTACCGTCCTGTGGTAAATAGGTTGGTAGACAGCAAAACCCCCCAGGGAGGTACACCGTCCTGTGGTAGTAGGTTGGTAGAACAGCAACCACCCAGGGGGGTACCTACCGTCCTGTGGTAGTAGGTTGGTAGACAGCAACCACCCAGGGAGGTACTACCGTCCTGTGGTAGTAGGGTTGGTAGACAGCAACCACCCAGGGAAAGGTACTACCGTCCTGTGGTAGTAGGTTGGTAGACAGCAACCACCCAGGGAGGTACTACCGTCCTGTGGTAGTAGGTTGGTAGACAGTAGCCACCCAGGGAGGTACTACCGTCCTGTGGTAGTAGGTTGGTAGACAGCAACCACCCAGGGAGGTACTACCGTCCTGTGGTAGTAGGTTGGTAGACAGCAACCACCCAGGGAGGTACTACCGTCCTGTGGTAGTAGGTTGGTAGACAGCAACCCCCCAAGGAGGTACTACCGTCCTGTGGTAGTAGGTTGATAGACAGCAACCACCCAAGGAGGTACTACCGTCCTGTGAGTAAGTTGGTAACAGCAACCACCCAGGGGGGTACTACCGTCCTGTGGTAGTAGGTTGGTAGACAGCAACCACCCAGGGAGGTACTACCGTCCTGTGGTAGTAGGTTGGTAGACAGCAACCACCCAAGAGGTACACCGTCCTGTGGTAGTAGGTTGGTAACAGTACCACCCAGGGAGGTACTACCGTCCTTGGTAGTAGGTTGGAGACAGCAACCACCCAGGGAGGTACTAAACCCTCCTGGGTAGTAGGTTGGTAGAACAGCAACCACCCAGGGAGGTACTACCGTCCTGTGGTAGTAGGTTGGTAGACAGCAACCACCCAGGGAGGTACTAACCGTCCTGGGTAGTAGGTTGGGAAGACAGTAAACCACCCAGGGGGGGTACTACCGTCCTGTGGTAGTAGGTTGGTAGACAGCAACCACCCAGGGAGGTATACCCCTCCTGTGGTAGTAGGTTGGTAGACAGCACACCCAGGGAGGTCCCACCGTCCCCGTGGTAGTAGGTTGGTAGACAGCAACCACCCAGGGAGGTACTACCGTCCTGTGGTAGTAGGTTGATAGACAACAACCACCCAGGGAGGTACACCGTCCTGTGGAGTAGGTTGGTAACAGCAACCACCCAGAAGGTACTACCGTTCTGTGGTAGTAGGTTGGTAGACAGCAACCACCCAGGGAGGTAAATACCGTCCGTGGTAGTAGGTTGGTAGACAGCAACCACCTAGGGAGGTACTACCGTCCTGTGGTAGT